ATACTCAACACTGAAGCTAGGGAATGGGCACTGAAATGAAAAAAACAAATTGTCACGCTCCAAATTCTAGCATTCTTAACTTTTCTTTTATCAATCAAAAGATGGAATATAAAGATAACAAACAGTAATCATGCTCAGAAGTCCAAACAAATAAACTGAGAGCAGAGCAATCACAATCCCCTGAAAACTTCAGAGGCGGGATCAGGTGCCATAGAAGAGAAAACAGCCTTTGTCAACCGGTCAGTCAACATTCAACCTAACGACAGATTATATTTGCAAACAAGGTCATTGTATCGACTGCAAAATCTGTGCACATGTATTATTAATTGATAACACGTCATCGAAGTCGAATTGAAAGCCAAAGCAAGACACTACAGCTACTTTGGCTTTGAATAAATTAATCTTTGAAGTATTTGAATAAATTCTTCTTCAAAAGAATAAGAAAAAATCTGCTTTTAAAGGGGCTCAATTAAAACCCATACGATTCCCAATTGCAACAGTTTGTTAAAAGACCTCTGGCCTTTTTTTCCCCAAAAAATCTTACGACTAATACTGAAACTTTACCATTTCTCAACAAGTATTTTTAAAGCTGTAGTTGGACACAATTTTTTTTTATATATTTCTATACTCAGTATATTGCATAAGATTACAATGTAAATAATATTTTTAAAAAATAATTATGTTTATTAAACAAACAAAAAAAAAAAAACAAAACAAAACTACAGCATGGTCAAATTTTTATCTTACTCCTAAGATGTTTTGTAATAAGGGCTACTGTTCTCCAAAGTCTACATAGATATTGTCAATGCGAAACTCAAGCATAGAAGAAACAGGAATCAAACTGATTAATCATGTTAGGAGGGTACCGAATTTGTTTCTTATGTTAAAGTGTATATAAAATATTTATTTAAAAAGTAAAATAATTATGAATACTACTTTTTCAGCATCCGATATACGCAGTTTTCAGTGACTCAAAACAGCATATGCCGCATGCTGATGTAGTATTCATCATAGTATTTGAAACACACCCTCCCTCAAAGCTCACCTATAGACCAACACAGCAATCCCTAATAAAGGCAGAGAAAGCAACGAAACTAGAAAAGGAAGCAACACACCCGATGTACTCCGAAAGGATGAACTCAATATCAGTTTGTTCTTAGGGGGCACATCACATCTCTCCGCGATCCTCCGTACCTCACTCTCGGTCAGGTTTACAGGGTAGGGAGTCCAGTACAGCAGCCCAGGGTTCGATGGAGGGGGACAGGGGGCTAAATTTAACCAGTCATCCACTGTTAAGTCCGACATGTTGTAAACTCGTATCAACCATGTATTTGAATTGATTTCCCGTTAACAAGAAAAATCAATATACATTTGTGTAGCTCTTTTTTTAATGATCCGTGTAAAAAACTATCTCCCACAAACTTTATAGGGTCATAACTCTTCGCCCCACCATGAATATCTTTAATTAGCACATATCTTTTCTTAAAATGAATTTATCATGTTTAAGGGGCAACAGTATACATGATAGCTACGCCTGTATAAATATCCAAGAAGTTACGGCAAGATGGCGTGTACTATAGTGCATAGTAACATGCCATTTTTTTAATTGGCACAATTAATTTTTTAACTTTAAAATCTGTCTTTATGTTTTCATTACTCGTAATAGTTAAAATCCGCCTTACTTTTGTGCAAACCTTAATAGGGTGAATTTACCATGCATCGGACACCCTCGCATTTCAACAAGTTCTAGCGATATCACTACCGACCGAATATTATCAAAATGAAACTTAACATGTAGTATTTGGTTAAAATATAAATTTTTGACACAATCGTGTGCTATTTATTGAGAAAATATCACTAAAAACCGATTTTTTCGAAATAAGTCAGAATTCACCATGGATTGGACAATATTCACCATGCATCGGACATACGGTATTTAAACCAGAATAATATCATACCTTGATCTCGGTGCTTTAAAATTTGCGATATCGAAACATTTTTATCTTTTATTTAAAAATTAACCTTCTAGTTATACATTTGAATGATTATTTCGATCCACAAATGTGAAGAGATTTAGTTGCATCACATCGCCTTAGAAAGGCTTTACAATGCTAGTAATGTGGCAAAACGCGCCTTTGTCTCGTGAGTTATCATCATCTAGTTTAAAAAAATTAATTGAGTCCACTTCTAGTCGTCATATATCGATAACTTGTATTTTCATTGAAAATTTAGAGTTTTCATTTTCCAATTCCGTAAAAAACAGCTGTCACTTGGGTTTTATATGAAAATGGAATTGATTACCCATGCATCGGAAAGTGTCCGATGCATGGTTAATTTGTGTCCGATGTATGGTGAAATAAATATACTAGTAAAAAACGACTCTAAAAAATATTATACAAACATTGAAGTAAAATTTTTGAAAACTTCCTTTAAAAGTATCAATCATTGTCAAATATTACCTAGGTCCGACTCGTTCCGTTGACGTCTATTTAAAAGAACGACAACTCTAAAAATTGCAAAATCGTAAAATTCTGGTTACTCCCCTTTGATGATGCAAAATATGACGTAATTTGAAGGCCATTCTTGTCGTATTTTTATCACAACTTGAAAATAAAAAAACGTTATCATTAAAAAGTTTAAATCTTGACCTTTAAGACAGAAACAAGTAAAAACACGGGGAGACTCAGGTTCAATTAAAGTTTATTGCTTAAAGTTGTCCGAAGCAAGATATGTGTCCGATGCATGGTTAACTCACCCTAATACAATTCATTACTTTTATGGGTAACAAGCAAAGTGTTCTCATATGGGGCAGGGCTTGAACTATGTTGCCTACGCGTTTTACCTCCGAAGCTATCTTAGAGAATGTCGCATTTTTACATCAGAATGTATATTGCCTATATACTGTGCATTGGTAAAGTACAAAGTACATTCTATAGACCAGTTCACCTTCCAAACAAGGTCCCTTGTTTGGAAGGTAAATTGATCTATGGAACATACTGAAGATTAAACTTGAAATAGGGAAAAAGGATGGAATGTGGATCATCCTTTTCCTTGAAAAGCAAACTTAAGATGATATACATGTACTGATGTTGTTAATTCTATTTTACATCCACTCAGTACCTTTATTTAAAGTACTGTTAACTAACTTTTATTCGCGTGCGAGAAATATCCGCGAGTTTCGCAACCTACTCTAACTCGGGAATATTAATGACCACGAACCATTGACATAGAGAATATTTCCACAGTCGCGAAAATTAATCTTCGCGGATTGATTTCAAACTGAAGAATCGCGAATAAAAGATGACGAGAATAGGCCCCTAATTATTGTTTTACAGTATACTCGACTGTGTTGAACTGTATTTTTCAAACGGAAAATTTCGTGAACAATGCAGTATAAAATCAACGGTCTAACAATTCGCTTGAAGGACGTCAGTCAACATTCGACCTAACGACAGATTGTATTTGCCAACAAGGTCATTGTATCAACCACAGAATTTGAGTAATGTTGACTATATTGTTTATCGAAATTGTTGATATCACTGTACAGCATTTTATGAGCGATTTAGACCTGTATATCATACATCTTATTATCTTTAGCTGAACGCAGCTAACTCGCAAATAGCGGCAGCCACACTCCATGTAAGCACAGAAGAATACCTGTTTATTACGCCTGTTTGCTTTCTGGCCGCTTAGAATGGACGATATAGGCTATAGCTATATATTTGCAACTGAAGTCATATTTCTTTAGTTTTTTTTTCTCTAGACGCCGAAGTGATGTACTTTGTCGCAACTGAATATTTCAAAATCAATCTATTTAAAATTAGACGTTCCGAATCCGCTACCGTTTGAGAAGTGGCAGCGGATTCGGAACATCTAATTCCAATTAGATTGATTCAAAATGGCAATATAGGTTACGTCCATGCACACAGGTGAAATTTGATATTCAATGCACTTTAACCTGTACCTTGGTCAAGTAAAAGACGTTCATATTAAAGGGGTTCACAATGGAAAATAAGAGAGGGGAAAAACGTTAACGAGTTGTGATCCGATTTGAATAGTGATTTGTTCTTTAAGTGTATTTTTCCTTGGTAATGCTCTTTTGTGACAAATTCTCATATATAAAGACTCATTTTAATTCCAGGATCTGCATGGTTTAGGAAATCCAACTCTTTCTTTCCCCTGGACCAATTATTTCCTTGATTATAATTAAAATATTTGACCATTTACTTTTTGTGAGGAGAAAGAAATGCGGTTACCTTATTCTGCACATTTCACCTCCTTTCAATACATGAAACAACGATGCAACAGTGTGGGCGTATCATGAAGTATTTTATTTTCCAATGTACTGAGACTGTACACAAAGGAAAAAATGTATGATCACTTATATATTAGTTCGTTGAGAATTCTAGCTATTAAACTTGTCAAGTGATGGTCAAGGGAATCGGATTTCACGGCTTAGTAGTGAGCATTCAGGTCTGTTTAGACACCAAGGTAGGAATTCAAAGGAGCACATGACATGAGGAGGTTGGGAAAAGAGAGATGTAATGAAGGGGAAAGAAGGGTACCCCAATCCCGTCTCGCTCCATGCTCAATGCAAGAAATTGAATATCTCAGTCATTGATCTTAAATAAGTTATGGGAACGTTCCATTGAAATATCTTAGTTCTGAACCATTTCAACTTCTTGTTTGTAATCGCTGAACCTATTTCTGCAATTTTGATAGATATAGCATCTTAAGGTAAGAGGCCTCCCTGAGGTCTGTGTAAGAAAACTGAGATTTACATATATGAAGTAAATATCCGAGAATAACATTAAGAACAAATGCTAATTAGTTTTGATCTATATTTCTAACAAATCCATATGATCATGAATAAATTTGATATGTTGAGGACCATTGAATTTTTACTTGAAGACTTACTGTGTAACCATCAAATGATAAATAGCATTCAACGTCTTTCTGTGAATCCAGAAATTCGTCAAAAGAATGATAAATAATACGTACTCTTTGAACATTTAATAATTTTAATTAATACAAGTAACATGAAAATAACAACATACAATCAAAAAGATAACAATGGAAGAAGCCAGGGATGAATTTTGATCTTTATGGTAAACTGGCGAAAAACATACCCAAAAATAACATATTAACAATTATTGAAATGACAACTTAGAACAAGACATTGTCATTGTTCATAAGTGCACGGAACTTTGTTGCAAAACATACAACAAAGCTGATATGTAAGAGGATATGTTTTCCACAAATTAGACATTGATTATCCATTGCCGAAATATGTGTTACACTCATTTAACCATCTGTCATGGAAACGCTCTGTTTTCTATGGTTACTTTGCCATCTTTGGTCTGATATTTGGAAGTCTGTAGCCCCTGGTTTGTATTTATATTGTAAGAATGTGATAAATTCTGAAGACCTTGTTGTGAGTTTATTTTGTCAGAATGTGGTAACTCTTCAGTCTTCAGTTCTTTGTATGTATCATTGTCACAGCCCTTGTTACCATGGTCCTGCCTCTCCTCCAGTAAATCACACTTAGATCCCTGGATACAGCTATCCCCTGTCTTGTGTTTCTTGTGCTTGTAACTGGGAACAACAAAGAAATTTTTAAAAATATTATTTCAACAGCAATAAAATGCGTGCTTTTTTGTTGTGTTAGACGACATATAACTGCTGTAATGCATAACCCTCGTTATATAGCAGGTTATGTGGATTTCTTTTTTTTTCCCTTTGCTACTGAATAAAGAGGAATATTTTATTGTTTATATATTTTTCTTTAATCATAAATATCAAATGGGTGAAAGTGAGTAAAATAACGTATAATTTATAAATTGGATAAATAGAAAACGAATGAAACCAGGAATAATTATACATTTAATTCAATGGAGAAAAATGATTGCATTATATATTTTTATTAGTAAATGGAAATATATAGTAAATTACATTGATCAGTATTTCCCTCTCTTTCTCTCTCACATAAACAAATGATAAATTTTAATGAATTTCGCTAAAAATATTGGCTAGTGTTCAATAAAAACAAAATATTTAACAAGGTCCTGATTATAATAGTGCTCTTGCATCCAAGTAAATTACAGTTTCGCATTTATTATAATTAGTAAAATAGTCTATTAAAAGTGGACGGAATATATTAAATTCTACTTTCTTTACTATATACGATTTCATTTTACCAGGACAAACCATGTTTTCATCAACAATTAATCAATTCAGGCATGCACTGAATAGTTTCAGAAATAAAACAGGAAATCAAACAATATTAAAACTCAAAACATAAGGCTGCTCCTCCCACCCCCCTGTTCCTTCCTCCCCGTCCCCCACCACCACCACCTTACCTATAGACCAACACAGCAATCAAAATCCCCAATAAAACCACAGAGACCGAGACTAACACCGGAAGCAACACACTCGATGCGTTCCGTACGGATGAACTCATGATCAGCTTGTCCTTAGGGGGCACATTACATCTCTCCGCGATCTTCTGTACCTCCCCCTCGGTCAGGTTTACAGGGTAGGGGGTCCAGTACAACAGCCCCGGGTTCCAGTACGGAGGACAAGGGGCTAGATTTAACCAGTCATCCACTGTTAAGTTGGACATTTTTTGATCTCGGATTATTATCGACCACCTGCTGCATTTGTAATGATTTCCCTGCAGGAAAAATCAATAGGATGAGGATATGAGTTACTCCCTTATTGATAATCTGTATATATATACTCACTCCTATAACGCAAACCATGCAGTAGACTTTCTGCATAATTGCAACACGCGAATATACATGTACTTGTCACCTATCCACATGTATTATGATATATCCGTATACGTATACTACTGCATGATGTATTTTCTACTGTTGAATTTACACCATAATAGCCACGCCTGTCATTGTCCATCAAAGGAATGTAAACCTATAGGGTTTAGAACGGACATTTTATTTGAACATTTTAAACTTGGAATATGTTCATAACATAATCATTTTAGTTATTATAATAGGGAACTTAATTATTAGTGACAGTAAAATAAAATAAAAGTTTATTAAACAAGAATGGACATTAATAGTGTACCACATACATTGACTTTTTAATTGTAAGAGACTTTAACATCATGAACTGCATGTATAATTATCTTGTTAGAACAAATTGGATTTTGTTGTTGGTACAATGAACTATAATTTTGTAAATTCTTTTTTAATTGAATTGATCAGAATGGACCAATCAAGCCCATCGATACTAAGTAATAAAATTTGAACGGAAATGTAAAGTTACTAATGTATTAATGCCCTGTTCACACGGAGAGTTTAATTCGAATTAAACGTAAGTTACTGCGAATTAAATTTGATCCGCGTTCACACGGAGAATTTAATGCGAATTAGTTTAATTCGAATTAATTTACTGCGCATTAAATTACTTCGCATTAGCTCCGTACGTGTGAACGCTAAGCGAAGCTAATTCGAATTAAATTTTGACGCATGCGTAAGGGTAGAATTAAGTCACAGGCCACATGTCGATGGTCAGATATAGGTTCTTGTGCTACTTTTGAGTGGAAAACAAAGGAAAATTATGATAATCACTAAAATGTGTACAGACACTATGACATTATGTCAAATCAGTGGTCAAATGTATCTGCTCGGCACAATGTGACGTGATTCGCAAAATGACGTCATAATAGCCTTACTGAATAGCCTTACTGTAGAAATAATTAATTCGCATTAGTTTACTTCGCATTAGCTGTCGTGTGAACGCAATTTAATTCGCATTAGTTTAATTCGCATTAGTTTACTTCGCATTAATTTACTGCGAATTAAACTCTCCGTGTGAACAGGGCATAAGATTCTTGATTAAGAGCAATAAAATTGGGAACTTTGAAGCAGATAAGTAACAGAGCTTAGGGCTAGAACTCCTGTGGTGCAGAGATGGGGACTGAGTCCATAAATAATACTAATGTAGGTATACCTTGATTGGAGGGTAGTGCCAGGTTGGGGTTCATAGGTCAACTGACACACCTACGGACCAAGCGTAGGTGGCAAGGCGATGGTAAGACAGCCAATAAAAAGTACTTTTATATCAGAGACCATGAATACCCTCTGAGCATAAAATACCCTGTTTGCCGGAAAACGGCATTCTTTTGACTTTCTTTTGGACTTTTCTTTTTACTTTTGGGTTCTAGTTCTCAGCTTATTTTGAATATTTTGGACTTACATTGTATCTTAAAAACAAGTACGTTGGTCTATTAAATCTGATGACATTCCAGAATTATAATTAAAAATCTATACAAAAACGGTGAATTAATAAACTTTTGAAAAAGATACAAACATCTTTATTATTGGCTTACAGGAGGTATGATATATACATCTGTGCTCAAAATCATGAAAATAACAAATAAAACCACGTTTAAAAGTGAAAATGAATAATTTTAGCCGCATAGATTTTAATTTTTTATTCAAAATTCCACAGTAATGTCTTGTAAAATAATTTTTAAAAGATTTTTAGGGAGAACAGAAAAAAAGGTAGAATTTTGAATATCATAGAAAGACTTCGGGTTACAATTTCTAAATAAATGTATTTAAAAAATGATATTTGCATCATTTACAACCAAAATACGAAGTCCAAGATTGTACATCAATCCGGGCATTCATTTTTTTTTATTAAAATCATTTAATTAAACATTAAAATGCGTTAACGGTTGTGACATTGCAGAAGAAATACATAATCCGTGTAAACGTCTGCCATGATTGAAACCGTTTATTTTCGTATTAAGAAACAAAGAAAGCATTTTCTTATTTATATTTATATGTTACCTGTATAACTTATTCCTGTAAAGTGGGTGTATGTGTGTAACACATTTCATCAATCCTTACACGTATATTGATGGAAGAGTATAAAAAACAGTTGACCTTTGATACTTTTTAAGAAATCTTTAATATATTTGGCTTTATAAAAACAGTTTAGAAGTTGCTTGCTTTAATCATAGGCGCTTGAGTCAAGGATAATCAGGCGCGGATCCAGGATTTGAAGTTAGAGGGGGCGCCAACAGTAGGCAGAGGGTCTGGGGGCCGCCCTGAGGCCCCCAGTGGGTCCAGGGGGCGAAGCCCCCGGAAGCTCCTGGATTCTAGAGATTTTGTAGGGTAAAAATGAGGTCTACCAAGTAGAAATTTTTACATTTTCTCGATGAAACTATGATTTACGCTAACTTTGACAATTTTAGGGGGGGGGGGGGGCGCCGGGGGCGCCCCCGTTAAATCCGCCACTGATAATGCATATTTTCTATATAATGTATTGTCGAGGAAATTCAAACTATATTCGTAACATTTTTTTCAAGCGCAGTACAGTGGTTATTTTTAGTTTTTTGTAAATCTTTCTGCTTGATATATTACTGTCACTAGACTACCACAGAAATTTGATATTATGCACGTTTTAAGAGTGACATATCCCAATGACTACAATGAAATGCTGTCATAAAACACGCATGTGAGTGTCTCCGAAGAAGATGGGCGAACAAGGCGCGCAAATCGGGAGCAGAGCAACACACACTCTAAAATATCAAAGGTGGGATCAGGTGCCATGGAGGAGTAAGCATCCCTTGTCGACCGGTCGCACCCGCCATGTGCTCCTTGTCGTGATCGGACAATTCAGTGTGAAAATAGTGACCTTACAATTAGTAAGAAAACACGTCCACCAACGATAGATTGTATTTGCTGACAAGGTCATTATATCGACCATAGAATTTGCAAAATGTTGCTTTTAAAAGAGACAGTTGATATCTTTGTACCATCAATTTATTTGCCAATAGATTGCCTCGTTTTAGAAATTGTTCTTATGTAGATCATGCTCTTGCGTATCGAATCAATTAACTGGGAGACATAAACTCCGTGTGGCAGGTGATAATGTGTATTGCTACATAAATAAGGGAAGAGGTGATAGAAAAGTTGAAGTCGCGGTCATAACGTTTATGATTAAGTTTTGTTGTAAGGTTACCATTAACGTCTTTTCCCAGTAAAGTATCCAAATATGAATAAGATGTACCAGACTCTGTGGTATGTTTTATTTCGAGTTCAAGGGGATATATCGAATCATTGTAGGAATGAAAATGAATATTGTTAATTGATAAAGCGCCGTCGATATTCTAAGTATCTAAATGTTGAATTGAAGGCCGCAGCAAGAGACTTCTTTTTTTCATGTAGAAGTTTTTGAATAAATTTTGCTTCATATGAATACAAAAATAGGTCTGCTAATAATGGGACGCAATTAGAACCCATGGGAATTCCAACAGATTGTTGGAAGACTTGGTCAACATTTCGGAAATTCTATGGTCGATACAATGACCTTGTCAATATAAATACAATCTATCATTAAGTCGAATGTTGACTGACGTTTTTCATACGAAATCGTTAGGCCATTTTTTTTCTCACCGAAATGTCTACGGATTTTTCCATTATCCGATCATGACAAGGAACACACGGCGGGTGTAATGTTTGATGTTTTAGAGATTTGCTCTGCTTCAAATCTGTTTTGTTTTAATTGACATTTGAGCCTGATTACTGTTCGTTATCTTGGTATGTCATTATTGTAGTCTTACCTATATTGTTATAGGGGTGTGATATGTGGGGTTTCGAAAATCTTAAACAAGACTACAATTACGCAACCTGACATATATCCTGAATTTAAAATGCAATACACCCCAAGTTATGTCTTGTTCTAAATTTCGAATTGACAGAGTTGGAAAAAATACAAAATTTAGAACATGACAAAGTTTAGAACATGAAAATTTGCCATGTTCTAAATTTTGTATTTACTCCCACCCGGTAAATTCAAAATGTAGAACATGATAGTTATATGGTTTACTCTAATGTTTTAACAAACTGGGGAAACTTGAGTATGGAAAGGAAGATATATAAGTTGTCTAGAAAATATATTTGTATCTACTGAAACAATATTGTCTTTCACTAATTTACAACTTTCAATTGTTAATGAGTATATGACTAATTAGTAATTAGTCATGTACGCATTAAAAATTCAAAATTGTAAAGTGAAAGACAACATGATAAAAGTGAAGTGACAAACCCCTGGAGTTCCTTTGTAACAAATTAATAAATAAATTAACAAATAAATTGAACAAATTTGAAATCCCTTGACCCAAGCATACTCTTGTCAAGTTTTGAGTTGAAAATGACCCAGTGATTCTGGAGAAAAAGATCAATTTGTAAAAAGTTAACGACGCTAACGACGACAGACGACGGACAAATTCTGATTAGACCTTCGGCTCAGATGAGCTAATAAAATTCAAATTAAAGCCATTCGGTATTTCATACAAGTAGTACATGTACATAAAACACACATTCAAATAGTTACAAACATGTCTGGAGAATTAAAGTTCTCTTGTATTTATAATTTCTTCGTGGCGTCAGCACCACAGTATAATTGGTCATTAAAGATATAATCTTTTTTTTCCCAATACATGTAGTTGCAATCGTTCAATCGTCAGCTCCTCGGCCAGAAATAATAACTCTTACAATTATTATTTTATTTAAAAAGTCTCAAAATGAAGATAAAAAATTATTTTTTTGTGCAAAAATTTTCATTTCATATGCCTTAATATGATTCAA